TTATTATACTTAAGTACATGTTATTATAACTTGTACAATAAATAGTATACCTTCAATATCAATTAACCAGTCACGCCAAAAGCATATTGTTGTGTTTTCTCTGTCTCTCCTGTTGCTGCCCTGCACAGAGAAGTCCACATCAAATAAAGTGCATAGGTCCTTCGCCTGTAGTGTAATCTCCTCACTGACAAACATGTTGTAGAACACTGCCGGATTTTTCTTCAGCTCCTCCAGTAAACCAAGGGTTTTTAACCCCTCAGCAAACCTATAAAAACATGTGACAATGTGTGAATCGTCCTGGGCCAATGACGGTTTCATTTTTTAGACAGATAAGACAGGTGTGGCAATTACTTACTGGTCCAGGGCAGTCGCCAATCTTCCATTGACAAAGAAGTCTGCAGCTGACTGGACAAGGGAGTCCTTCTCCTCCAGGCTGGACACATGTCTTAAGGCACCTATAATGCTGAGACTATCTGCTGCCTCTGCAATTGCACTGTTCGCCTCTCGGACTGTTGTTGCTTCCTGTATCTAAAAAGAAAGACAGAAAGAGAAAGACAGAATGAAAGACAAAAAAGACAGACAAAGAGAAAGACAGAAAGAAAGAAATAGTGAGTGAGTCCAAAATTAGTACAGTACAGTACATTCAATGTATAACACCTTTCTCCTGCTTACTTTTATTAACTGTTCCCTGAAGGTATGGTCACCAACTTCATCCACCGTGGCCAGGGGTGTTGGTATCCCACAGATTTGATGGAAAAGCCTTTCGGAAAAGAAGTGTGGACCGACTCCTCCATGGACGACACACACAGCAATCATTTTTCCCACCCACATGTAAAGTTTAGTCTGCAAAGCTAAAATTAAAGACATAACAGTAAAATATTGCTCTGCTGTAATGCTTCTTAAAAATGTAATACCTTAAAATGCTATGATTAATATTAGTGCTACTACGAATAATAACTTTTTATTGCACCTTTCAAAACATGTAAAAAGGTGTTTCAGTACATTAAGACGAAGAAATGAAGAATCATGGAAAAATCCTAACCAAGAATTAACAAATCAAGGCAAAATAATTAAACAAATAAAAGTAAGACGATACACAGACAACACAGGATGATACCTGCCCAACACATAAAAAAAACAAACAGAATAAACACAATAAATCAGACAGGAGAAATAAGGGAGCAATCATTTTTAAAATAGGTTTCCACGTATACATTTGTAGAATTCTACAAGTTGAATAAGGACAGTCCTAAGAATTTGGACTTCCCTACCTTGAGTATCAAGAGACAACTGCCGGTCTTTCTCATGTCCCTCAAAGATATTTGACTGGTGGACGGCCCTCATCAACAGCCTTAGGTACTCTCTTGTTGGGCCGCCTTCGTCTACTGCCCCTTCACCATTGTCATCTTCATCCACAAACACAACATCCAATTTTGCTTCAGGGTTGAAGAACCTACGCTTGAACGCCCGCAGGCTACACAGTAAAACATTATCCCTGCACACATTTATTTGGTTGCTTGTTGGACAGAAGCTTCCATCAACTTTGCTGACCATTTTTTCCAATATGGTCTGTAGATCAATCCTGCAACCAAAGAAGTTCATTAAAAAAAAAA